GCCTCCAAACGTTTGCGTCCTTTCTGTGCGGTGGGACACACTTGTCTCAGTATTGCTGCCTGCGGGGGACCGGCCCTGCGCCTTTGTGGCCCGTCCCATCAGGGAACTGCTGCTCATTTGTCCCCACTTTTCATGCTTTACGCACAAAATTACGGCCCAGTCCCGCAGAACAAAAACAGGGCTCAATAAAGGCCCGGAGAAAACTGGCCCAAAACTTTGTGTTTTTTGTGGCATCCTCCTCTTTTTTTCTCTCTCCCCCCCCGGCACCAGATTTGTGTTTCTCACATAAATTTTTACCACGAATGGAGAAACACGTCTGAGGGTCAAGAAGCCACGATACGCATTTAGGCTGCTGAAAGGGGATGTGAGATTCAAGCCACAAAATGTTTAGAGCATCATAGTAGAAAAGGACACAAAAGGGACAAAATAGTTGAGGATAATAACTCTAAATGGGCCGATTTTCATGGGCTTACACGCCCAGATTTGGCAAAGAGAGCGTGTTACTAAATGATTTTTGTCTCCAATAGATAAAACAAACTCTAGGCTTTTATATCCATAATAAAAACAACTCGGTGTTAATTCAAGAATTACAACATATAATATTATATTCAGAAAAGCCATTTTATTCCCATAGTAGCCTATATACATTACAGTCTGTGCATTGGTTTTTCAAATAATGTCCTGATTTTAGAAAGGCACTTACAGGTGTACAAAACATAACAAATTTCGGCTATAACTGTAAATCTATTGTATCCAAACAATAAATCTGAAAGTAGCCTACAGCTCGTCAAAATCACCGCAGTGTTCTCTGGTGTTGTTCCCTCGCCATCGCTGGAGCAGTTTCCCAGAATAACAACGCACAAAAAGCATGTGAATGTCCGAGTTTGCCTTTTTTACGTTCAGCATCATCATCATCATGCACTGCAGCATCGGGTACCACTAATATATGAACTGAAGGCAGGTGATGATGAAGAGGAGGAGGAGGAGCCGGCAGTGACAGAAGTGACTTAATGGCGACTTGGCTCACGGAAAAGACAAAAGCGTTTAAATTAAAAAAAATATAATATTATAAAGTCAAAATAAATATATAATGATCACAAATCAAATCATGCATTTACATGCAAAAGTATGGAAAACTGGAGCACTTTGAGTGTGTGTGTGTGTGTGTGTGTGTGTGAGTATGTGTGTGTGTCACAGGCCTTTAGAAAAAGCAATGGAACAAGTGTGCGCGTGTAAATCTTTCTGTGTGTGTGTGTGTGTGTTTGTGTGTGTACGTGTGTGTGTGTTGGCCTGCAGTGTAAAAAAATAATAAGTTACTCATGTTCATGTTCGACCATATTGCTCTGATTGCATGGAGTAACAGTTCGCGTATGGATACACTGTAAAATACCACTGCATATTTCTGGTTCAGTGTTCATGCTTCACTATGAATAGGTCTATCTGTGCCGATATAAAAGTCATTACATTTTGGTACATGTTCTGAGATATGGTATACAATATAAGCAGTAAGTTACAAGTCCTCGGTGGGATTTTCTTTTTTCTCTTTATCGTCTCTCTGTGTTTGTTCTCGCCTCCTCGGCCCCACGCTGCGCCATCAGTCATCCACATCAATCTCCACGTCCTCGTCCTCTGAGCACTCTTTACTCGTTGTGTGGTCTGAGAACGGAGACAGCGGCGACGACCGCAGTTTCTGGGCGAGCTCGTGGTTCTGCTTGCCGCCCCGCGCCGGTGACTCGGGGCGCGGGTGGCCCAGCGTGCCGTTGGCGCATTTCTCCAGATCCGCCAGCTTGGCGAGCTTGTCCAAGGGAACCTGGCCTACGGCCTTGGCCGACTCCACGTCGGCCTTCATCTCCTCCAGGTCCCGTTTTAGCTTGGCTCTGCGGTTCTGAAACCACGTGATGACCTGCGCGTTCGTCAGGCCGAGCTGCTGCGCGATCTGGTCCCGGTCGGCGGGGGACAGGTACTTCTGGTACAGGAAGCGCTTCTCCAGCTCGTAGATCTGGTGATTGGTGAACGCCGTCCGGGACTTCCGACGCTTCTTCGGAGTGGTCCTCTGGCCGAACAGAGTCATCCCGTCCCGGCCTGTGAGAGAGGAGAAGAGGCTGAGTGAAAACCACTGAAATACGCAGGTGCTGGGGTTTTATCCGCACCGCTGCAGTGCGTGCGTAAAAGTGATCACAACGCAAAAATAACAGTGGCAGTGATGTGTGAATCATGAAACTCTTTAAGTCCTTATGGGAACAGGTAATTACAGGAATATTACACAGACACCACTGGGAAATACTGAGCAGCAGACACATGAGGCCGTAATATATTAAAGAAAAGCTGTGGCGATTTATTTTGATGAAGAACAAAATTAACACGCCTTTGTTCGATGAGACATTTTAAGAAGAAAAATATACATTAATTAACGCAACAGAAAAAACTACTGTTGTTTTTTAGAAAGCTCATTTAATGGCTGCAGGGAGAAATTTAATTTCAATTTGTCCAGTGCAGGCCTTTGCGTAATTTGAAGAAAAATAAATGCATCGGATGATATAAGATTTCGAAAATGTATGTGTGATGCGGTGATTCTGTGCGGATGGAGCTTTACCTTCCGCCGCCTGTAACACACTGACTTCCAGTCCCTTGAAGGTCTTGCTGGCCAGCTCCTCCAGCGCGCAGAGCGGGGAGGTCTGGTTGAGCAGAGCGCGGCTGGACAGGGGGATGCTGGACGGGCGGTGCTTCTCAGAGGACGAGATGAGGTGCGCCGTGCCGCAGATCGTGTAGCTGCGCTTCACGGACGGCTTGTTCAGGATGTCCTCGATGCTGAAGGGGGTCAGCGGCTTGTTGGAGTTGGCAGGAGGCGGCAAGTGGTCCAGCGGACTTCGCCTCCTGTTCTCCACTGCATCACATTTGGCCACCTCTTTGGATGTCATCATTGGTTTGCGCGCAAGTTTACGCAGGACTTCGTTGAAATATTACCAAAAAAACCAAGGGAGGAAAGTCACATAACAGTTAAGGAGGTTAGAAGAAAATAAAAAATAAAGACGCAGATTGGAAAAGAAAAGAAAATCTTATTCCAAAATGGGGGGGTGTCTTCAAAGTGTCGATCCTCGGGAGCAGCGGGTCCGCAGGAGTGAGATGCCTCCCTGAAAATGGCGAGGTCCACAAGAGTTGACGATTACTAACAAGTTATCGTCGATTGGTAGGTAATCAATTATCTCCAGTGGCACTTTCGCCCTCTTCCCTTTCACTCTTTGACTATGTTGCAGTCCAGTGCAGGGCTTTTTGCGACTGGGGGTGTCCCATTAATTAGGACGCATGGCTGGAAGGAGGAGGAGCCCGGCGGAATTATAATGCTTTGTGCTCTTATCATCTTTGGTCTAATTTAGTCGTGTGGTGAGATACCAGAATAGGTATATGGGGTAAATGAGGGGAAGCAGAGAGAGAGAAAAGGAGAGAGAGAGAGAGAGAGAAAGAGAGAGGGATGAGGAGGGGAGAGAAATCACAATCCGTAGCCTACTTAAGCGTTTTTACGCGTAAAACTTCCAGTTTCAGTCCAGCAGCATGCAGGGGTTTCTACCCTTTTATTTTAAAAAGTATATGGATTATCCGGATGTGATTTTAAAAAACGATAAGTCCTCTCAGGGGTTTGCTGTAGGTGTCGCAGCCATAGTCAGAAGGATATTTTCTCTCGACCCAAAGCGTGGATGATCCTTTGTTTTGTAAAGGTAATGTAAGAGCTGGGTCATATATCAGCTCTGACGATACCTCCTCTGGGGCGGGAGAGAAGGAGCAGCATGCATCCCTCTCAGCAACGCCAGAGCTCGGCCATAACTCAGGCGAAAGGGGCCGCTTTTATATCATCCGAGAAATAGTTCATCTCCTCTCAAATTTCCCCGCGTCCTCCAGGTTTGACATGATGGCTTTATCTGGGTGCTGCTCTGTAAACGCCACCACAGGCTGTTTGCATAAGAAAAACTATCTTTGCAGGAGAGAAAAAAACATTTGAATTTGATCACATCGAAATTATGTTTTTTTTCTAATGCAAAGGAATGTCAATAATTGTTTTTTTTTATTTAACGACATTGCTGTTTTTATTTAATGCTTGGTATTTCATTTTTCTTTGTTAAAGGGAACTTTTGTGATTTGAAAAACTATAGTACTTTATTATTATTATTATTATTTTTACTCGTGGCCTTTGTTGTTGTTTTTAAATATATATTAATTATTATTATTATTAATAATAGTAATATTTAACAATTTATTTGTGTGCTTCATATTTATGCCAGATCAAGATGCTGTAAGTTAATATTGTTATGATAATAGTATCACGTCACTGATGACCAGTGAAAAGAAAACATCAACATGATAATGATGATAAATGCATATTCGCATTATTTGTTCGTATTTATTCATTTCATAGTTTTCGGTAAATATTTTTTTTATTAAAGTATAACATGACTTCATTTTGTCAGCCTGCGTCTCTACCCTGCAAATGAGGTAATTAAACATTATACCTCTCATACAGGATTCAGTTTCTCATGGTGATGAGAGTAGGACTGAAGACACAACGAAAAAATGATGAAGACAACCAAACTTCATTTCATTTCATTTGAATTTTTTCGTTTTTTTTGACCACAATGAAAAAGAAAGAAGGAAAGTTTAAAATGTGATTTCATGCTTACATCTCCAGTTTATTTTGTCGTGGTTAGAAAGGTTAAAAAAAACAGCAGCCAGGCACTCACATGTTTTATTTGCTGCTGGTGGGGAGGTGGGGGATCTGATTTCAGGAGCAGAGGTGATCATTTGATTTTTTGCTGAAATTCAAACCTCCAGCATGTTCCCTTTGGCTTTTCTTTTTCAAACTTCCAGCAGACACTAACAATCTGTACATCTACATGATACAACTCTGAGCTGCAGCATTTAGAGACGAGCAGAGGTGTCCTGCCCCAAACTTTTCATGATGCTGCTTTTAAACTTTTTGATTAATGATTGACTAATTATTATCATACAAATTTAGATGCATTAAAATGGTATAAATGTTTGAATGGTAATTTAGCTATAGACCTTATATACACTGAATATGAACAGATATTGTGTTTAATCATTTAGAACTTAACACATTTATCACACAGCTGGTAATTAAGAATATGTATTCACACAAAAAATAAATGTCAATTAGAATACGATGATGATCATTTATATTATTGTGTTAACCTTTTTAAATGAACTAAACTATAAAACATGATAAAGGTTGATCCATTGTGGGAACATTTGACGTCACTTGACTTCAGAGGAGTGTGTTTGCAGCAGGATCATGGTGTTCAGTGCTGCACCGGCCTGTTTATTAAAGACAGATATTTGGTGTGGTGTGTCTGGCGTGCCAAGGTCAACGACACGACCGGCCTCTCTGCTCTCCTTCGGCCAGAGAACTTAATCTCTTAAGCTACTAGACTGTGCAGGGGACGTGCCTTGGCAGGGGACAGTACACACCACAACACTGATAGGCTCACTCATACTCAGTTGCTATTCTTTTCTAATATCTAATATGTCCAATGAATACATGTATGAAAGAGGATTAGTTGATTTTTATTCCTTTGGAAGATGTAATGGCTGTTTTATGATGGATTTATATCCATAATAAACCCTAAAACAATCTCTGAAATTATATAATCCAGCAGAGTTAGTTTAATGTATCTACAATATCCTGTAATCTGCCTCTCATTGGACATTAATAAATGCATTCACACAACACAAACACCTCTTTGTCTCCCCAACCAGGTGTTGATTTAGGCCTTTTCACACTGCACTGTGTTAGCTTAAAGAGCCATCCTGCAGTATGTGTTAGTGACCTCATGCCGGACAGTGCTCACATGCAGGCTTAGACTGCGATTAGACAGCTGCAGGGGAAACTATCCACATAGTAGCCATTTTGTGAGACCCCAAAGATGGGTGTCATCTCTCCCGTCTCCCAAAGGCCTGCCTGTTATCTCACATGACACCAGATATAGATACAGAGAGAGGGAGAGGGAGGGATGGCCTGGCTCGGATGTGTCTCTCTGTTTAAATCGTGTACTGTATAAATCACACGTCATTACCAGAGGTCACTGGCGGAGGCACACCATTGGATGGTTTCATACAGCGAGGGCCAGTGTGGTTGGAGGAGAGTGGATTTATCTGGCGGTGTGATCTGTGGCAGCCATATTTTATGTGTCCAGAGATGTAATAACAGGCCTCTGACAAATCCCTGACGGCCCAGCTTTTCCTGCCTCGCAATGCAGTGCCATAAGCAGCACCATTATCACTTTGATGCACGGGGACGCACTGTGCTGCTCAGCTTACCATTCTTTCCAGGGTTGGGAGGTCTTTGTTGTGACTTTCACAAGTGTCTCATTATTAAAGGGTCAGTTCACCAAAATCACAAATGACCCACTTTAACTCCAGAGTCATTGGTCCATGATAGGTTTTGGTTTCATTTCACAACATTTTTAAAATATTCACCTCAGTGACACTTCAAAATTGTCACTGATTAAACTGAAGGATAAAAACAGCACAAAGGGGAGAAAATGGCACTTGGAATTAATGTGCAACAAAACTTAAATAGGAAATCAGTATGAAAAAAAACAGGCAATATTATGTTCTTCTTCTTACCAATTAAACATTGATGGGTTTTGCTGCTGCAGTCACTTTGCCTTGTATGAACACTATGGTGGTCTGAAACATTGTTTTAGACAGATAAATGGCTGATTTAAAATTAAAATTCCATTAACCACTATTCTAAAGAAATGCAGCAGAAATCTAGACACACATTTGAAATCTGAAAAGATTAAACCAAACACATTCCAACAGCACATAACATATCAGCGATATTTCAGATTGTTTATGTTGTTTATATTTGTTTATACGTTTTTAAGTATTAAATAAAATGCTATAATTCAAATATACTCAAATATATAAATATACAATTAAATATCATTTGTATAGAGGCACATACGAATAAATTACATAATGATAAAAGCCAAATTCAAGTATTTTGCAGAATGGACCCTTTAAGAAAGTAATGTAACTGCATGTTAATGCAATTACACATCTGGGATATGATTACGTCAGATTTTTGTTGCAATGTTTTTTTTTAATTAAATGCTTCAGATATATCAATATATTCATATTTTTGATCAAATCTGAGTCTGCAAAATAACAACTGCAGATCTTAAATAAATGTAGTGGGGTGAAAAATTACTTCTATTTCCCTCTGAAATGTAGAAGGATAAAGCAGAAAATAGAAATTCGTAGGTTAGATATTATTAAGTTGAATACATGAGTAGATTTGCATACAAGCTTTCAAACACTGAAAATGTATTTATATACTTAGATTTGGGTGGACTGACCCTTTAAAAAAGAAAAAAAGAAAATCCACTCTCTCACTCCTCCAAACAAGAAAACTTTTCTTTCATAACTTCTGATTGTAAAAATAAATAAATGAATAATAAAGGTGACTCACTGACTCCTTCCAACACCTCAAACAAGCTGCAGAAATAAAAAGGAACAGGAGAAACTGAGGGGAACAGGCCAGTCAATAAATTACAAATCATGACTTTATGCCCATGCAGGAAAAAGCAAAAAACAGGTGCACAGTCTGCCAAGAAATACAAGAAGCGCAGAAGTTGCCCCGTGGCGACTGCATAATGCAGAGTTAGTCTCTCCTTAAAGGAACCTCTTTATTGGTCTCTGGCTGTAATAATACAAAGTGTACTCCCTATCATGGACGCTACAAAACAACCATCCAGTCAAAAAAATGGTTTGACACCAATGCTTTAGTGCAGAGAGGGTGCCACTGTTGTTTTCTTTGATTTATTTAGCTTTTCATGAACGTCATGAGATCTGTTCCCTGCGTCTCACCTGGTTGGAACAGTTGCTCCTCTCTCACTCCTCTGCCAGCTTGTGACAGACTGGCGTCACGCCCCTGATCATACTGGTGTGGTTTGGGGCCTGTACGCTTGTAGCTGGCTCGGGCTGAACACGGGCATTCCTAATTTACAGAAAGCACACTTTGAAACTGCACATATGTGGCCACTGGAAATGAGTCGATTTTGATCATCCTTTCACAATCTGCTCTCTTCATTTAAAAGCGATCAGTTAAACAGCAGTTAGCACACGCTGGTATCCTTTCCCCCCTCCACCTCGCTGCTTTAGCAGAATCCCTCCACTGCACTA